TTCATTCATCAAAACTCTGTATAGGCTATCATTATTATCAGATTAGACAGCTTAGAGAGAGGTCATCTTCTTGACAATCCACAGGTAAAAATGCCCAGTAGGACAGGATGTTTCCAAAAGATAAACAACGGCAGACATAATACAGGCGTATTACAGGAGATCTCCCTGCCTCTACGCACACCCTGCTAGACACCAGAGAAAGAGAGCTGCAGCAAACATGTAAAGGCACAGCAGAAGCAAAAGCCATTCTGGGGTCTGCAGTCCTGTGTCCTCGCCAAAATGAGAGTGGCCCATCTGGTGGGCTGACACCTGGAACTTTTGCTGCTCGCTGCCCCTCTGGCATGCAGCAGCATACAGTGTGTGCTCAAAGTGACTTCTCCATGTTTACGAAGAAGCCATTCTTAATCCTACAGTCCCCAAGCTTTAGGAATAAATTACGACAAAGTACATGAAGAAGACGGTTGTGGCCACCCCCTAGTTCACACATCCCTGTTAGACCAGCCTGCTAATACTTTGTATAATGCGCTAGGCAAAAAAGAACAGAGGCACAATAGTCGGACTTAGTGATTCTTTCTGTAAATAAACGTTTCCTATTTCCAACATTTCTTCTTAACCATCTGGTCCAACTCATTGTGCCCAAGATCTCCCTCATTCTGCCAATAATGCTATTTGATAAAACATTTGCAGTACCCTGTTCACTTGGACTCAGTGTTTACTAGTTTGCTTGTTTTCCCAGATCCTTTTCATCCTCTGCCTCTCTTCCCATCCACTTTTGTCATTGTGTTTTACCTGCATGAAGTCACACGTTCCTGGTGGTGACGATACATCGGACATTTCAGCTCAATTTCCTAAAAACTGCCAATAGCACACAGTGCGGGCTGGATGGGACAAGACTTGAGTGCCAATCCTAACGTTGCTAAGCTACTCATTCTGTGTCCTGTATACCTGTATACCTTCACTGAGCCATTTGTTTTAACTAATTTTTAATTTTTTTCATAATATGAAATCAAGCCAAATAAGAAAGTATGTACAAGAGTGATTTAATTCCACAATAAAATATTTGGGAGATGTGTGCAGAGGTGAGAACTTTCACTTCACTTAGTATATTTTAACATTTTTTTTTGTGGAGTCAAAAGTTCTTTTATTTTTTTTTAACATTTTATTTATTTATTTATTTATTAGAGATTTCTGCCTCCTCCCCTCCACCGCCTCCCATATCCTTTCCCCTCCCCCAATCAAGTCCCCCTCCCTTATCAGCCCGAAGACAGTCCGGGTTCCTGCAAATGGACGGAAATAGAAAACACTATCCTGAGTGAGGTAAGCCAGACCCAAAAAGAGGAACATGGGATGTACTCATATTTGGTTTCTAGCCATAAATAAAAGACATTGAGCCTATAATTCGTGATCCTAGAGAAGCTAAATAAGAAGGTGAACCCAAAGAAAGACATATAGTCATCCTCCTGGAGATTAACTTTCATCGGGCTATGAAAGCAGACAGAGACAGAGACCCAAATTGGAACACCGGACTGAAATCCCAAGGTCCAAATCAGGAGCAGAAGGAGAGAGAGCAAGAGCAAGGAACTCAGGACCGCGAGGGGTGCACCCACATACTGAGACATTGGGGATGATCTATCGGGAACTCAACAAGGCCAGTTGGACTGGGTCTGAAAAAGCATGGGATATTTTAACATTTTATTTAATCTATCAACTGCTGATGTGGGATTGCCCTCTGTATACTGTGAATACCGCCGGTTAATAAAGAAGTTCCTTGGGCTTATGACAGGGTAGAACAGAGAAAGGCGGGAATTCCAAGCAGAGGTAGGAGAGAAAGTAGGTGAAGTCGGGGAGATGCCATGTAGCCACCGGAGGAGAGAGATGCTGGAACCTTGCTGGTAGGCCATAACCTTGTGGTGATGCACAGATTAATAGGAATTGGTTAATTTAAGAGGTAAAGGTAGCTAGAAATATGAACAATCTAATAGACCAAGCAGTGTTGTAATTAAGATAGTTTCTGAGTGATTATTTCAGGTATGGGGCAGCTGGGAAACGAACGAGCAGCCTCCGCCTACACATTGGCACCCAACTGGCATGTCAACGTGTGCCAGCTAAATCCACATAAAACCTGAAAAATCTTGGAAAGGAATTATAATTATAGAATTATAGACAGAGTTAAGCATGACTTCTTGGCAGCTGGCTTTTTTTTTCCAGATGGGCTGTGTTTGCTGGCAGTAGGCATTGGTGCACGCCTTTAATCCCAGCACGCGAGGCGGGGAGTGGGGGGGGGGGGTGGCGGGGGGCAGAGGCAGGTGGATCTCTGTGAGTTTGAGACCAGCCTAGAGCCTGGTCTACAAGAGCTAGTTCCAGGACAGGCTCCAAAGCTACAAACAAACAAAAAAAAAAAAAACAAAAAACCTGCACTGTTTCTAAACAGTGGCTTCCTGGTTTGTCCTGCCAGCATGAACTCTGGCTCTTTCAGGAGACCAAGCACTTAAATGGGGTCTTTGAGCAGTGTGTTACAAATTGTTGAGCCATCGGAGTTCTACAGAGAAAAACAGAAAATAGCTTAATGATATTTTTATATTGATTACACATAGAAATAATATCCTGGACGTAGATTAGGTAGAGTAAATGAAACTGATTTTATCCATGTGGGTCTTTGCATGTGTGAGCAGGTGCCGTCAAGTCCCCTGGAGCTGGAGTTATAGGCAGTTGTGAGTGGCCTGTTTGGGTGATGGGTACTGAACTTGTGTCCTCTTAACTACTGCGCCATCTCTCCAGTCCTCCTCCACCTTATTGTGTGTGTGTGTCCCTGAGGGAGTCAGTTCCCTACCTCCACCTCGGTTTCCAGGGATAAAGCTCAGGTCAAGATCCTCATCAGCAAGTGCCTATGCTAGCTGAGCCACCTCGCCAACGACGTTGAACTTTTTAATGTGGCTTCACAAGCTCTTAAATTCACGTGTACCTTGCATATACTTCTAAAAACAGTGCTGTCCTAGACTCTCATCTCAGCGGTTTGAGTTTCTCATTTGATTTTTTTAAAAAAGAAATCCATTAACTAATGCATAAAAATATACATGCTAATAGTGTGGTGTGATATTTCAATTAATATATTCACTTAAAAATTTTAATATTGAAGTTTATGCATAGGATCGTTTACCTGCATGTTATGTCTGCCCGCCACTTTCATCGGGCATCCGATCTCCTGGGACAGGAGTTACAAATGGCTGTGAGCCACGGTGTGGGTGCTGGGAACTGAACTTGCGTCCTCTGCAAGGGCAACAGGGACTCTTAAGGGCTGAGCATCTCTCTATCGGCATCAAGTCATGTCTACAATGTTTAATGTTTAGATTAGGTCATCGTTCTGACCCCTCAAACATTTTTTTTCTGACAGAAACATTAAAACTCCTTTCTTCTAGTTTGTTTAACTGCACGATATATTATCATTATCTATAGTGACATTACCATGCTTATGGTCTTACGCTGTCTGTGACAGAACTTTTTTTTGAAGCTACAATTTTTTTTTCCTATAAGAAGAATATGCTTTTGGCTGGAAAGACAGCTTAGCAGTGAAAAGTGCTTGCTGTTCTTCCAGCTGGCCTGAATTCAGTTCCCAGCCCCCAGGACTAGTGGCTCAAACCTACTCGAAACTCCAGCTCCAGAGAATCCAAAATCCCTTCTGGACTCCATAGGCACAGGCACACACACACACACACACACACACACACACACACACACACACCACATAGCTACAACTAAATGAAAATAAAGTTTATAAAATGACAAAAAACAAATGCATAAAAGCATCTTAAAATTCAGCATATTTTTACTGGGCATGGTGGCACATTCCTTCAGCCTCAGCACTGGGTGCATAGAAGCTGGCAGATCTCTGCGAGTTCCAAGCTAGCCAGGCTAAGGAAAGGAGAGTTGGGTGGTGATGGTGGTGCACACACCTTTAATCCCAGCACTTGGGAGGCAGAGGCAGGTGGATCAAGGCATAGTGAGCTCCAGGATAGGTTCCAAAGCTTCACAGAGTAACCCTGTCAAAAAAAAAAAAAAAGAAAAAGAAAAAGAAAAAAAGAAAAAGAAGAGAGAGAGAGAGAGAGAGAGGAGAGGAGAGCAGGGAGAGGAGAAGCTGGAAGTAGAGTTATTTGCTTTAGAAAAATAACACAGAAAGTCAAAGGCACGTATAAAGGTTTTGCAACTGTGAACTTTCCTCATTTTAAGAAAATCCAGCATCAGCCAGGCAGCCCTCAGGAGGCAGAGGCAGACGGTCGTTGTGAGTTCGAGGCCAGCCTGGTCTACAAGAGGTAGTTCCAGGAGAGCTAGAGCTAGAGCTGTTACACAGAGAAACCCTGTAAAAAAAAAAAAAAAAAAAAAAAAAAAAAAAAAAAAAAAAAAAACCACCACAACAAAAAACTTTTTAAAAAAGACAAATAGCATTTAAAAGACGCCTGATTTGCAAGACGCTCCACCAGGGGTTTTCTTGTAACCAACCATTTGCTTTTTTACACTTTCCCTGTGCATTTTAGAAAAACATTTTCAGATTTCAAGGTTCTAGTTCATAAGTAAACGTGGTTTTGAAAAAGTTACGAATCATTAAGAATAGCCTTGGAAAATAGTGGAGGTGCAAGTATTGTTTTAAGAAACCATTTGCAATCCTCGCATTAACCACACTGATTTATTAGGCGTGCAGACTGCAGCCCTGGAGGCACCCGAGGCCGCGCCCTTCCCCACGGAGGTGGGTCGCTGTCAACTGTCAGCTGATGTTTACGTCCGGGAGGGGTGGGTCCAGATGCTGCAAACACGCCCTCCTTTTCTGCACCCAATCCACCAACCTAGACTTTCCGGTTTGAACCCAGAGACAGGCCCGTGGCACCTAGCAAGCTGCTGCCCGCCCACCCTCCGCCCCTAAACAAAACTTCTCCCGGGACTGTCCAGAAGGCTGGAGCCGCCCTGGCGCGCGCTCCCGATCCTGCTCCGCCCCCAGCCGCGCGCGCCCGCCCCCTCGGGCGGAGACGCGCAGGAGCAGGCGCGCACCCGCGAGGCCCGGGCGCCATCTTGGATTCTGTAACTGGGCCGCGGCTGTCTGAGGGCGTCCGAGGCGGCGACGAGGAGGCGCCGAGGCGGAGGACGCGGACTGCGCGGGACGGAGAAGGGAAGCTTTTTCCCCGGCCGGCCGGAGCCGTCAAGGTGGAGCCGCGTCGGCGCCCGCCGCGGGAGCAGCGACTCGGATGCGGGCGGAGCGTGGGGGGCCGCGGCGGCGGGAGCGCGGAGAGGGGGCCCCGGGAGGTCTCATGTGAGAGCGGCGGGAGCCGCCGCCTCCGCCCGCGCAGCCCGGGGTGCTGTGTGGGGGAAGCCGCCCCCGGCAGCAGGTACGGCGGGGGTTCGGGGCCACGGCCCGCAGTCGGGCTGGCGGGGAGTTTGGCGGCGGCCGGGGGCGCGCGCGGGCGGGCGGGGCGCGACCGGGACCTCGGGACTTGTCAACAAGGCGCGGTGCGCGCGCGCGGGGGCGTGCGGTAGGTCTGGGTGGCTGGCGCCGCCGGGCTCGCCCTCGGCGGAGCGGGTGCGGGCGCTGGGAAAGCCGGGGGGCCTGGGTAGGGTGCCGAGAAGTATCAGGGAGAGCCAGGCCCGGGAGGCGGCAGCGCCCACGCCGGGCGGCCAAGTAGAAAACTTGGCCAACTACGGTGCGGCCGCTTCGGGCGAGCTGCAGACCGGCTCCCGGAGGCAGTGGGGTTTGTGCGTCTGCGAGCCGAGAGGTGAGAGGGGAGGCGCTTTGTGGCTAATGGTGTCTGTGCCAGTGGCCCAGGTGGTTTACTTACGTGAAAAAGGTAACTTTTAAAATTTCTCTGAGCTCTTTAGAAAACTATCTGTAACTAAACTCTTAACCCAGTCCGGGTTATGTTTGCCCACCCCGGGTAAGGTCCGTCTATAAGTCCGCTCCTGGTTGTCTGTATCTCCACTGAGCTCACCGTTCTGAGAGTTAGCCTCTCTCCTATCGTTCAATTCTTGTATTTTAGCCAAAGAATGTGTGTTAGGTTTCCTTCTATCCAAAGCAAAACATAGGACGTTCTGGAAATTATGCCAAAGCAGACTTTCAAAGCTTGAGTACAAGTGGGGTCTTTAATTACTTCACGCCCAGTGTACCTAAGTGTCTGAGACACCCAGAAAACTTTTGACTCTTTGTTGCGAATTTTGGAAATGTTTGATTGGCTCACTAATTCCGGGTGCCGCTCAACTAGTTTTTAGGTTTCCTTCATTAGGTTGCTTCTTTGGCACTTGACACAAATACCAGCAGACGTTCCTGCCACTGTGGTTGTATTTGCTGGCTTCCTGAAACACTACAGTAAATCAAAACTGCCAAAGTCCAGGTTTTCCGTGCTAGAAAATCTCACTGACAGTGTCCTGTTTTGGTACACCACACTCCCTCCTAGACATAGAAAGCACTTTCTCTTGGACAAGAAGCAAGCAGTATAAAACCCATTGCTGTAAATTAGTTTATATTAGTAATGCTCTGAATTGTTCAACTGTCTGCATAGCAGAGCTTCGTGTGTAGATAGTTAAAATAAAAGGCATTGGAAGTTTTCAACTAAAAGGGCCATCTTTGAAAAATGATATTTCAGACTTTAGGTGTTCATTCACGAATGTTATTTTCATGCCTAAATGAGAATAGTGCATAGGACATTTTAGCAATTGGCCTTTTATTTTTGTATTGCTTCATAAGATTTTGACATTAATTTCATAATGCCTTTGACAGTCCATAGACTTTTTAGCTATTCATAAACTACTAAGTACTAAATACATACTTTGGTGATCTATGTATTCCGTTTATATTTCAGTCAAGAGCAGTATTTAGAATACTGTTACCTGGTGTTGGGTAATTGTATATTGTCCTTTCTGACTCCACCCAGACGTGGAGCTGTGCTGAAATACACTTCATTTAGACCAGCACTGTATGGGGAGGCAGAGGCAGTGGATCTCGGATTTTAAGGCCAGCCAGGATTACAGGGCAAGGCCCTGCCTCGAATAAAAACTGTAGAATCTTAGGATTAAAGTATTGTAAGGCTGTCATTTTTGTTAGTTTTGGTTTTGAATCTGTATACTTGACAGTAAAATGAACTATTTCTGCTCCAAGTTCTGGCTTGGGAAGATTCCTGCAGAAGCAGCGAAGCGTCCTCTGTGGACGGAGGAACAATTGTTTCGTTTTTCTCTGGATCTCCGCAGCTCAAATTCTGAGTAGATTTGGGGAATAAGAAAGTCCTTGGTAGCAAATTCTGTTTCTTTGACCCAAATTAAAATGCTAAAATTAAAGTTAAGCCTTCAGGGTGAGTTAAAGTGGGAAAATGGGTCATAATGACAGGCTAACCTCTAGTGCGACATGTTTATTGGTGGTGGTTGTTTCTAAGTTGGTCCTGTAGATTATTCTAACCTTTCTCTGAACACACTTACAAAATCTATTTTTAGATTCATAAATAAGTTAGTCTTCCATAAAGCCATCTTGTCACCTCTGTCATTTTGTTTTCTGGATTCTCTTTCTACTCACGAATAAGCTGTTTTTGTGTGTGTGCATATAGTCAGGTGCAGGAACACAGGAACAGACAGTTCTGTTACCGGTTTGGGTCGCCTGCACTGACGTGATGTAAGATCATGCCCTCCGCCATTCTGTTTGCTCTCCAGCCCACAGTCCTTTGCACAGAGTTTGCAGCGGCTAGAAGAGAAAGTCTGTACATATGCACATCCTCCTTTGCACAGAGGATTAAGAAAGTCGTATATGTTGTTTGTCACTAGTTAGTTGGAGTCACAATCCCTGTGAGTCTTATTTGGACCAGTGCCTTGTCAGAACTGCTGTCTAGAAGCAAAGCACTGTAGGTCCGAGACCATATAATAGCTCTAACAAGTGGTTTGTGTTAGTATAGAGTGCAGTGTACTTAGTCAACTAACCAATCACAATGTGTCCTTTAAAACTTCGGTTACATTATAATAATGACCAAAAATAACTGTATATAATGTAGAAAGAAAAAAAGCAGATGGGGAAAATTTCCTGTAGTCCCACTGCTTGTTTTATGCTAAGTTAGTGGAGCTCTTTCCGGAGTTTCTGTACACCACTACTCCCTGGCCCCTTATTTGAAAGTTAAAATTAAATTGTTCCTCGTATTGGGCAGGGGTGGGGGCATCACTTTTTTCTACTGAATCATGTGATAGCTTTCCTACTGTATTTTTTTTTTAAACAGATCAATTGGCTCTCCTTTCAAAAGCTCTAATATTTCATTCCTTGTAAGAGCCCTGAATCTTTTACAAACTGAAGCATCTGACAGTCTTGGAATTTATCCATAGCCATAGAATTAGTTAGAAGTGGAGCTAAGATTCAAACCTAGGGAGCCAAGACTAAGAAGCAAATGGAATGGAGTGGGTAAAAATACCTGGAAAAAAAAATGGAAGTGTCATTCAGAAAAAAAAAAGAAAGAAAACGACAAGACGGGAAAGCAGAGTGGCAGAAATGTGTTGGGGGAGCTGAAACTGCGCATAGGCAAGGTAGACTGCTTTAATTAATTAATGCCGCTGCAGGTTGAGTTCAGGCCTGGAGTATACGACAAGGGCTTTAACATTGGACTATACTCAGCCTGGAGAGATGGCTCAGAGGTCAGGAGCACTGGGTGCTCTTCCAGAGGTCCTGAGTTCAATTCCCAGCAACCACATACATGCAGACAGAACACTATATACAAAATTTAAAAAAATATTAAAAAAGTTGGACTGTACTCTGAGCCCAGGTTCACTTACCGCTAAGTAGAGGCTGGATGTGTGTAGCAGCAGTAACCCTTGTTATGTCACAGGCCGTAAGTGCAGGTCTCTGGACTGCTGACCTCTCATCCTCAAGAGGTGCCTGGGGACCGTGATCCACCTCAGATTTAAAAACGCAAATATAGTTATCCTTGGGTGACTTACGAATTTGGAAAGTACCACTCTAGGCTCTTTTATAGTCACTTTACGTAGTGGACTACAACTCTTGAATTCGAATTTTGTGGTTTACTTAGGTCATAAGTAGTGTTTAAATGTAAGTAATGGAAATCACCTCAGGAATGTTCATCTCCACCAGCAGTTTTCATTGTATTTTTATATTCTCCTTGGATTGTTGGTTCAGTTCTTTGTGCATTTTTCTGTTTAACCGTACAAATACAAATACGTCTCAGTGATAGAAAGTGAATTTGTGATTAAAAGTTAAATAAGACGGGAAAAAATGATGGATTTTTCTAAATAGGATGAAACGAGGAGGAAGACATAGTGACCTTGATTCACCTGAAGAAGGCACTGCAGAGAAAGCTAAGAAACTGAGGACTGCACATGAACGTTCTCAACCTTGTGATTGGGGTAACCTTCTGCAGGACATTATCCTCCAAGTTTTTAAGTATTTGCCTCTTCTTGACCGGGCCCATGCTTCACAAGTGTGCCGGAACTGGAATCAGGTATTTCACATGCCTGACTTGTGGAGATGTTTTGAATTTGAACTGAATCAACCAGCTACATCTTACTTGAAAGCTACACATCCTGAGCTGATCAAACAGATTATTAAAAGGCATTCAAACCATCTACAGTATGTCAGCTTCAAGGTAATGCTTTCACTCCTTCTGTGAAAAAATAAAAGTGTTTTAATGGCTTTAATGTCCTAACATTACAGCTTCTTATGTCTTTAAAATATTTGACTTTTTAGATAAAGCGCTTTAAGTTTTAAAATTATTGCACACCTTAGAAGCCATTGAGAATAATTTTTAATATTAGCTGGAACTAAAATACTCCTTTACAATTTATTACTTAAATGAGCAAAAGCAGCCACTAAGTAAACATAAGTTGACTAAGTTTTAAGTTAACAGTACATAGTTGGCAACAAACTTGAGGAAAGGCAAACGTAAAACAAAAAAGTGGTTTTCAGCCTCTGAGTTGAGACCTCTTTGGGGGGGTCCCATATCAGATATCCTGCTTATCAGATACATACATTGCAGTTCATAACATTGAAGTGGCAGTGAAATAATTTTACGGTTGGGGGTCAGCACAACATGAGGACCTGGTAGAGTGTGGCAGCATTAAGAAGGCTGGGAACCATTGCATTAGGGGATGATTATTGAGCAGCATTTACTTGCTGTTTTTGTCTACTAGTGAGTATTTCATTTTTGTTTTTGAGACAGGGTCTCTCGGTGTAGCCCTGGCTGTCTTAGAACTCACTTTGTAGAACAGGCTGGCCTCGAACTCAAAAATCCATCTGCCTCTGCCTCAGGAGTGCTGGTGTTAAAGACGTGTGTCACCACCACCCATCAAGTGTTTGTTATTCTGACGCATTTTTATCTTAAAAAAACCTTTAAAGATGGTATCGGAACTAACTAGTTTGAGTATATATTAGAGGAAAACAAGAGGATTAATGGAAAATGTAAGCGAGCTGTTTGCTTCATTTCAGTGATACAGGGGGCATGTGTAAACCCGTGTGAGCGTGAAATGAGTGAAGGAAGGTGGGTTGTGAGATCTGAAGAGCATTACATGAAATCATAGTAACATGTGTGAGAACAAGGGTTTAGCAAGTTGTACTTTGAGATAAATAAATAAATACAGGATGTTCGCTGAATCCTTGACACTATAGATTATTTTCCTTTAACAACTGATAATTATTGTTGGGCATGGTGGCTTGCACATGTATCTCACACATGGGGAGTTTGAGGCAAGAGAATCAACAATTGGAGGCCTCCCTGGACTATATATAGTAAGGCCTTCTGTCTTACAAATGTTAAAAACAAAAACCTAAAAAGCTACAGTAAAAACATAGAATTGCCTGATTTACCCTATTTACTAAAGGAGCAGGTTAAATCTGTACTAACTATGGTCTTAACCCAGACTTTCATGCTGTCTGAAGAGAACTTAGTCAGGGGTCCAACAGTGCTCTCAGACTGTGCTCAGTTTACTCACCAAGGGGGGTGTCAAGGGAGAGCTCAGCAGTCCCACTTACAGCCTCTAATTCAGATGATTTGGTTTAGGCATAAGAATTTGCGTGTCTCCAGTACTCGGGTTATTTTCATGTGGTCTGGGAACCACATTTTGAGAGCTACAATTGGTACATTACTTTCACAGACTATGGCATTGAAGAGCACCTTTGGGATGCAGTAAAACACATATTTATTTGGAAATAAAAGTAATGTATTTAACATGTTTAGTCTAGGAAGAAACCTAACTCTTACCCCTTCCATATGTTTGGTCATATTATTTTTTTCTTCAAGAAATGTCTAAACACAATATATACGAACAGCTACTTCTATTTTGGTTCAGTTTATTTTGTGCTTGTTTAGTTGGACACCCTTGTTTTACTCTAATGAATCTTTCTATTTAAAACACTAAAGAATTTCAGGTTGTGTGGTTAATTTAAAAATTCTCAGTGACATTAGTTCTTCAGGTGACCTGAAACTGTTCATCTTAGACACTGTTTACATGTGTTGCTTGATTTTATCAAGTACAAATTATTAAAGACAAAATTGATTCATTTTGTACAGTTACTTTGAAATGAATCAACTCAGTCTTTTAGTTCAGCACTGAATAAATAAATATAAATATGAATTATAGTGAACTCTGTTGTGAAAATTAGACTGAGGTTTTGGGGGAGAGATGATTAAAGATAAATGTCCTTTAAATGATAATGCACTGAAGTAATAACTATGTCTTGCCTTTATAAAAGTAAGCTATTCAAAGAGAGTTGGCTCTCCCGTGAGTAAGACCTGTTTCCTTTCTAAGGTGGACAGCAGCAAAGAGTCGGCCGAAGCAGCTTGTGATATACTGTCCCAGCTTGTGAACTGCTCTTTAAAGACACTTGGACTCATTTCAACTGCTCGGCCAAGCTTTATGGATCTACCAAAGGTATCTGCTGCCTTTGTCTTAGTCCCTTTTGCAGAGCATTCCAGTGAAAGCCCCAGCATTGTTGGTATTGACAGTGAAAGGGTAGCAAAGCAGTATGTGTAATGGAATCTGGCTACTGTTTACAGTGTTGAAAAATAGTATTTAAAATATGCTTTTAAAGAGTGTTTAATGGGAAGCAGAGGCAAGCAGATCTCTGTGAGTTCGAGGCCAGCCTGGTCTTCAGAGCAAGTTCCATGACAGCTAGGACTACTACACAAAGAAATCCTGTCTCAAAAATCCAAAACAAAACAAATTTTTTTTTCATGTGTATGAGTGTTATATTTGCATGTAAGTATGTGCACGTCATGTGTGTCTGACACCTAAGGATGCCAGAAGAGGTTGTCAGATCCCCTAGAACCTTGAATTGCAGGCAGTTAGGCTGCCATGTGGGTCCTGGTAACCAAACCTAGGTCCTTTGAAAGAGCAGCAAGTACTTTTAACTACTGAGCCATCTCTCCAGCAGCAGTAAAACATGCTGTCACGCATTACTTTGTTCTTCATTGGTACAGCTAAAGAGTAAGTGAGTTTACAGAAGATTGTGTAGCTATTGGAAGTGCTAAAAGATGTGAAATAGACTAATAACCCTGCCTGAACCAAAGAGAACCATGGACGCTTCTTCCTGAGCCTTAGAACGGGTTGTTGAAATTAAAAGTCAAAAGTAGAGAATGCTAGTATTGAGCAAGTAGGGCCCGCTTATTATGTACACACTTCTGGTAAATGTAATGAAAAGAGTATTTTTGAGGAAAGTTAATGTCAGCATACCTTGAACTGTCTTACAGATTTTATTTTAGACCGTTTATTCTTAGGAGGATTTAGCTGTTTGTGTTAGTCTTATACATAATCAAAGACTAGTCTCTACTATACAACTGTTCTTTTTAAACTTTTTTTTTACATAAAGTTGGTGTGTGTGTGTGTGTGTGTGTGTGTGTGTGTGTGTGTGTAAATCGGGACAGGGTCTCAATAGGTAAGCCTCGCTAGCTAGAATTAAAGGTTTTCACCAGCTTGGGTTGTCAGGCTTGTGGTCTTACCAGTTGAGCTATCTTAGCCTACAACTCTTCTCTTTGAGACAGAAAAATTATCAGAATACCTCCTGAGAAAGGCCAGTTGATAAAAGCTGCAGTCTAGCTTGCTAATGCTCAGTAGGTTAGTATCTAATAATTGTGTGTGTGTGTGTGTGTGTGTGTGTGTGTGTGTGAGAGAGAGAGAGAGAGAGAGAGAGAGAGAGAGAGAGAGAGAGACTGAGACTGAGACTGAAACTGAGAATTATACCTTTATACCTAGGGCCTTACCAGTGTCCTACCACTGAGCTGCATACTCAGACTAGCTAACAGCAATAATTTGAAGGTTTTTTTTTTAAAGTATACCACAAAGTATACTTTATGCTTTTTTAAAAGTATACATATATGATATGTAAGTTAAAAAATTAATTTTAGTTTTATGTGTATGAGTGGAAGGATGGGTGCCATTTATGTGCCTGGTACCTATGGAGATCAGAGAACACATCGGGTCCCAAGAACTGGAGTTGCACACAGTTGTGAACTGCCATGTGGGTGCTGGGAACTGAACCTGGGTCCTCTGGAAGAGCAGCTAGTGCTCTTAACTGATGAGCCATGTGTCCAGCACCAAAATATGTAGACTCATCTCACAGTTCATTTTGCTAGAGTGCTTCAGGAAGGAATATTTAACGTGAATTGTAACTCTAGGTGACTGTTGCAATTGAGTAACAGAACCAAATGAAATACTGTGATTTCAAAACCTCTGTTTGATTTTAAGTTTCATTAATTTGTATGTTTTAATTTGGAATGTTTTCTCATGAGTTAAAAAGGAAAATGAGACTCTGGCTAACATTTAAGATTCTTAAGTACCTCAGTCAAGTCCCAGTAACTTGGATCTAGCTGTGCATAGATTTCGAACTCTTACTCCTGTCCTAAATGTGGATGAAGCCAAGTCTTCTACAGTCCAGAGGCTGCCCAAGGGTCTTGCGTTAGGAAATGAGTTACATACAGTGTAGTGCCATCTGCTTCAAGCTCAAGGGAAAGGAAATGCTCTGAGTTGATATTTTACATACCTGCCATACTATATTTTTAAATTGTGGTGTATATAAAGTAAACTATATTATAAAGCATGTTAAACATAATTTTATTTTTTTTATTATCTGGGGCTCTCAGTTTGCATATTTGTAGTGCTAATTTAAGAAATGTTGATGTAGCTAGAACTGCCTCAAATGCTCATTGTCCTTTTTGCCTTTTTTTCTTTTTCCTTTTTCTTTTTTTTCTTTTTTTTTTTTTTTTTTTTTTTTGTAGAAAGGATTGAAATAAGGTGTTCCTATACTTTGGCTATCCTGAACAGAAGAGAAAATAGAAGAACATATGTGACCATAGCTAAATCAGGACAATGAGGAAAGAAGTTAGCATGCAGCCATGGGCTTGCTAATAAAGAACTGTGATCGTGGAAGATGTAGTTGAGTTTGACATGAAGATACTGTGATGTTAATGAATAAGTTATTTAACCAAAAATTTCGGAAATCAGTTGTTTAGATGCAGTAAGGCAGAAAACAAGTTAAAGATTGTGACCAAGGAGGTAGTATTTCCTTGTACTTCATTGTCTGTTAGCATGGCTTCGTCCTCTGACACTGCTGTGGAGATTCTATTAAGGTAGGTTCAGGGTGAGGTTGGTTCTATAGACATGTGTTGTATTGGTCTTTTTTTCCCTTTCCCTAAGTATTTGCCCATTGATTATAGCTTATTTTAGCTCTGATTCTCAAAGTCATGCACTTTAAATGTGCTGTAATCCTTGTTTTCTTAAGAATTTTCTTTGATCAGGTAGATCTCTGTTCATTGTATATAAGAAGTTAAAGGATATCCTATAATATAAGTAAAATACATTAATATCAGGTCTTGAGAATCTTAGATACAGTGTTTTGAGAGGGTTATAAATTTGGGGTTTTTAAATGATTTTTGCTTGTTTTTGTATGTGCTTCCTGGTCCAGTTGAGTTAGACCTTTGAGTTGGTTGACCTCAGTTTTGATGATTGTACCACTAATTTCTATGTTTTTGTTCTTTCCCGTGTAGTGCAGTGTACAGGACATTAGCTTCCAAATACGGTGGCATGTTGGAGGGAGACTCTTAGTCTGGTTCCAGGTCCTTTTGCTCTCGCTGAGGTTGCTGTGATTTAGAAATAGTCTGAGGCCTGCAGTGACATTTTCTCCCACAGGTCCAAAGGCTCTTCTCAGAGGTGGAAATTAGTCCCTCTGACTGTGCTTTGGTAACTTCATGCGGGGTGCTGCCTTTTATGGTTCTGAAATTCTTCCTTCAGAACAGAGCGCCAAGCCTAGCGTTGTAAGGAAACCTTGTAAGATGCCATTGCTGACGAACTGAACCAGTGTTTTAATCTTTTGTCTTTCAGTCTCACTTTATCTCTGCACTGACAGTTGTGTTTGTAAACTCCAAATCCCTGTCCTCACTTAAGATAGATGACACCCCAGTAGACGATCCGTCCCTTAAAGTGCTAGTGGCCAACAACAGTGACACACTCAAGCTGCTAAAAATGAGCAGCTGTCCTCATGTCTCTCCAGCAGGTATGTCATGTCTTTATCAGGCATATTTTAGTAAACTATATTGCTTTTCAAATTAAGAAAATTGTTTAGTAATTCTGTTAGTGAGCTTGTAAATGAATTAACTGTATCTTCTTCCTCCACATGAAAATATTCAGTGTCCTAATAAAAATAGGACAGTATCTGCAGCAGTCCACCATAGACTGATTTTCATTCTATTTTCGAATTGTTTTATGTGGAAATTGAGTACAATATGTGCTAGAAAATGGATGAAATGAGAAAGGGAGGGGGAGCTTTTAGCCACTTTTTGCTGGGGCAGAATATCTGATAAGCAGCCTAAGGATGAACGAAGAGTCTAATTTCGCTCACAGTTGGAGGGTGCTGGTCAGTCTCGTGAGGAAGGTGTGGTGCAGGAGCATGACGTGGCTGGTCTCACTGCCTCATCTGCAGTTTGGAAGCATAGGTGAAATGGGGCCCGTCTGTAAGACCTCAGGCCTTACCCCAGTGACTCATTTCCTCCAACCAGGCTCCGGTCCTGAAAGTTCCACAGCCTTCCAAACCAGCACTAACAGCTGGGGACCAAATGTTCAAACATGAGTTTCTGAGAGACATTTCACATGGAAACCACAAGGCAACAACTGTACTTGAGCTCCAGGGGATTGGGTCAGAACTGTCTCAAATTCCCACTAGTAGGGGAGAAGAGGTGTAAGGAAGTCTGATTGCCTTTCTGAGAATGCTCTTTAAAACTTAGATTTTAGAAATAACATTATAAAAGGTCTTTTCAACTACTTTTATGTAGAATTTTCTAACTATTAGTGCATTGTCCATTTTGAGGTTTAAATCACAACTGGTTTGTACTGAAAAGTAAGTGTAAACATGGTTTTCCTACTTAGTGCTTCATTGTTGATGTCTCCCACTTTTGAATCCCTCCCTGCCTGTATCTGTGTTGTTCAGCAAAGTCTTTCTGTGTTTGTTTTTCTTTCTTGCCATAAAAAAGGTTTGAATTTCCCCCAAAGAAATGACTCACTGTTGAATAGAGAACACTTGGTTTCTCCAAGACCACCCACAAGGAAGGAGGGTCTTGGTGATAGGCATAGCTAGGCCTACTGTTGTGTTTGCCTACTTGTCTCAGTCTCTAGATTATCACTGAAAACATTACAAAATAGACTTTGGCAACTATTTTCTGTGAGACCTTGATCACAATTTATTGTCTGTTATGAGGCTGAGAGCCATCTTCTGTAGCTTTATAGTGTTCAAGGTCCTTTGTGTCCTGACCTCTGCCAGCTTGTTTGTTCTTTACTCACAGGTCCTATGGGCTGTGAGCACTGAGGGGCTGGGGTTATTTGTTTTGACCTTCCCAGTGTAGTCAATACACTGTGTCTTGTAAAACAGTCTTTAGAAATTGTCTTGCCTATACTCATTAATATATCATCTTCATAAAACTTTTATTGAAAAAGGATTTGTGAACCATATAATTTATAATTCATGTAAAATAGACAATTATTGACCTTTATTGTGGTGATTAGTAGTGTATACATCATCATCACTATGAATCTTAGAATATTGTCATTATGAGCGAAAAGAAGCCTGGCTATCACACCCTAAAAACTCAGCTATCCAATCCTACCTAGTCCTAGGCAACCACTATTGCATTTTCTTTTTCTGCAATTTGTCTAAACTGGGTAGTTCCTATACATGGAATTGTATCGTGTGTCTGTCTGTCTTCTGGTTTCTGTTATTTAGCATGTTTTCAAGGTTGTTTTTACTATATAATTGATTAGAATTTCATTATTGTTGCTATGTAGAATCCATTATAAGTTTATAGCACATTTACTGTTGACCAGTTGGTGGATATTTGGGTTGTTTTCTACCTTTTGATTAAAACAGATAGTGCTTATGTGAAAATTCACATACTTTTGTGTGGTTGTATTGGTTCTCTTGGTGTGTATAGCTAATAATAGGGTTGCCACATCATGTAGTAGCTGTTACCCACGTGAGGAACTGTCCTCCTACATGTCAAACACTGGCTCTAGGACAGATAGCTTCCTCATTAGACAAAGATGTACTCTGGGAGTTCCAAACAAAATATGATAGCTGGTTTCCAGAACAAAAATGATTAAACCCAAAATACAGGATGAAGGTGGAGAATTGCCATCATACAAACTTTTTGTACATCTTTACTGATGCTTTTTATCCTTTTCATTATACCTATCCTAGTTGGTATATACTAGTACAATCGTGGTTTTGATTTACACACAGACACCCCGACCCTGCTGCTACCCTTTCAGGCCTCTTAATCTTTGAACTCATTATATAAACGAGGGTAGCTTTCAACTCATGGTGATCCTCCTCCCTCATCTTCCCAATTCCTGGGATTACATGCATGAACCATAATGCCTTGATGCCTTTTCTTGATAATTTTGGTTTGTTTTTTTTTTTTGGACAGGTTCTCTGTATGTAGCCCTGGCTGGCCTAGAACTCAATGTTTATCAGGCTGGCCTTGAACTCTCAGAGATGAACCTCCCTCTGCTTCCTGAGTGCTGGAATTAAAGCATGGGCTACTATTCCCTGCTATTTGGTGACTTATTTTTCATGTGCTTAGTGGCCATTTGAATATCTTCTTGGAGAAATGTCTATTTGGATTTTTGCCTATAATTTTTCCTTTGCTTATTTTTAAAATTGTCTTTTTATTATTGACTTGTGTTTGTCCTTATGCTGTTATGTATTTAAATGCTTATAACTAAGCATTAGCTGTCTCTGGCTGCATAGCTAATTACATATGCAATATCTTATACTAATGCCTGATTATCAGTTCCACAGTTTATAAGGCAGAGTTGTAGGCAAGTTTCAGATGGCCTCTGTGCTTAGGGTCTTAGGCCACAATCATTGTCTGTCAGGCTGGACTCTTGCCCTGGAAGCTCCAGGGAAAAATCCACTTCCATTCATTCTTATCCTGTGGGTGAGTTTGTGGTTTTGAGGTTGACATCTCCTTTCCTCACTGTTTTGTGTGGTGGGGGGTGGTCCCTGTTAGAGTACGCTTGCTTACTTAGCTTTACTTTTTATGTGTAAAAAGTCATTTGATACTGTTAACATGGATCTATCTAAAACTTGCGTGTCTTAAAGTTAGCAGTTAACAGTTTGACTCATTTGTTCTCTGAGTCTTCACTTCCTCTTCTGCATCTGGCCAAGAGTAAACTGCTTCTAAAAGAGCTCATGGTTAGATTAGGAGTATCTATATAGTTTTTTTTTTAATTTTTTTTTTTTTAAGTTTTTCGAGACAGGGTTTCTCTGTGGTTTTGGAGCCTGTCCTGGAACTAGCTCTTGTAGACCAGGCTGGTCTCGAACTCACAGAGATCCGCCTGCCTCTGCCTCCCGAGTGCTGGGATTAAAGGCGTGCGCCACCACCGCCCGGCCTATATAGTTTATTTCATAAGGCCAGTTGTGCCATATAGCACAGTACCAAGATAGGCAGGGTATCTATCACCTGCCAGATCACAGATCTTTGAGGGGAAAGGGCATTTTGAGAGTTACAACCGGCAGCTGCTGCAGTGGTTTCTCTCGTTTGCATCTTTGCAGTTTTCTAAATGTTAGAACAGGAATTTGCAGTGACTTAAGTAGTGACCTAGAGGTCTCTTCCTCCTCCTTGGGCTGAGTCTTACTTTGTGGGTCACTTTGTCCCTTTTCTGATTACATTGCCTATTTTCACCCACTGCTGTGAAGCTGTACTTTATTGATGGACCTATCTAGATTTCTTAAGCAGTAGTTTTACCTACCATCCCCTGCTATTTGATTTACGAACTTACAGTTCGTTTTTGTATTCTAGCTTTGCTGTCTTTAGCTAGCTATCTTTCTGCTTTGAACTAGAAATACTATTTAGATCCTACAAATCCTATTATTTGTAGGCAAACGTATTTAGTACTTGTGAAAGAAATAGTAATGAAAATGTGTATGTTTTGTTAGTCTTGCCTGTTTCTAAACGTAAGAACTGGATAGAATGTTGGATAGAGTGACATTTTGGAGCAGAATTCTTAAAGGCCATTTTGGAGATTAAATACTGATTTTTGGTAAAGTCGTCTGTTACTAGAATAATAGTTTGGGTGAATATGTCTTGAGTGTGGGAAATGTTTAAGAAATTGTTTTCCTTAGAGCTCAAAACTCATATTAATGTTACCTTTGACTCATTTGAGAGTGATATTTTCATATTTTCTAGAAATTTGACAAGCTTATTAGTACTATTAGTTGTTAAATTATAACCATTTGATGTTTTTTTCTGATGTAAATATTCTATTTATATTAGGATTACATTTGTAATTTCAGGAACTATTCTCATCTCTGTTTTAGTTGAATGTGGAATTTTTCTTAAACTGTAAGTTTAGTGTAATGATTTTTTTATATAATATGACTTCTGGTACTCCAAAGGACTATGAGCTTGGAGCCAACCCTGGGCTACCTAGTGAGTTATGGGTAAGGAACAAACAAAAAATGACACTGTACATTTTTAGAATAAATCTTAGTTATGGCATATTTTTAAAATGACATTAAATAGTTTTCTTAAGTTATAAATGAACAACAAAGATAAAGAATTGGTTTCATATTATAAACAATATGATGTGACTTCTAATTCATTATTACAACTAAAATTTTAAAAATTGGTTTAATTAGTGAAAAGGGAAATACAGCTATTTGATAGGACTTGATTAAACATTTAAACAGATAAATGGTACAAAAACTTATAAGTAATTGGGCTTTTTTTTCTTCCAAGGTATTCTTTGTGTGGCTGATCAGTGTCATGGCTTACGAGAACTGGCCCTGAACTACCATTTGCTAAGTGATGAGTTGTTGCTCGCACTGTCTTCTGAAAAGCATGTTCGCTTAGAACACCTGCGCATTGATGTTGTCAGTGAGAACCCCGGACAGACACATTTTCACACCATTCAGAAGAGCAGCTGGGATGCCTTCATTAAACACTCGCCCAAAGTGAACTTAGTGATGTATTTTTTTTTATACGAAGAAGAATTTGACCCGTTCTTCCGTTATGAAATACCTGCCACTCATCTTTACTTTGGGAGATCAGTAAGCAAAGATGTGCTTGGCCGTGTGGGCATGACCTGCCCGAGACTAGTAGAACTGGTAGTGTGTGCCAACGGGTTACGGCCCCTGGATGAAGAGTTAATTCGCATTGCAGAACGTTGCAAAAATTTGTCAGCTATTGGGCTGGGGGAGTGTGAAGTCTCATGTAGTGCCTTTGTTGAGTTTGTGAAGATGTGTGGGGGCCGCCTGTCTCAACTGTCCATTATGGAGGAAGTGTTGATTCCTGACCAGAAGTACAATTTGGAGCAGATTCACTGGGAAGTATCTAAGCATCTTGGCAGGGTATGGTTTCCAGACATGATGCCTACTTGGTAAGGATTGCATGATATAGGGCATGATGAATAAATAGCACCTTAATTTTAAGAAAATGTATTATAATAAAAGTTTATTTGCTCTAGTTCTGATATAATTCTACTATTTTATGGCACAGAAATTTGATATCTTTGGTGAGCTTAAAATGAATGATGTTTGTTGGAAGACCTATAGTTTGGGTCAGGTAACTCCTTTTTTGTAACTTAAGTTAATCACAATCAAATGTTTAAAAATTAAAGTGTGGTTTCATATTTGAAAGTAATATCAAGTTATATGAAAATGAGATCATTCATAGTCTGAAGGAAACAACATGTATATTCTAATATCTAAGAAGTATACTAATAGGTTTTCTGAGATGTTCTCTATGCATTTTTTAAAAAAAATGTAAACTTGACGTTTTAGGTCTTCAGTTATAAATACACCTGTTATAAGGTGTTTAATATAGCTCAGGAAAGTGAGCATTTTGTGAGAGAAATGTATGGTATAACTCATAGGAGGTTGGTTAAATGGTTTCAGATATTATGAAGCTGTTTTAAAAATTAAGATATAAATATCAGAGTATTTAGAACACTGATGAATGTGGCAGTGGTCGTTGAGGATGGCACACAGCCAGGACTACTCTAAAGGAACCAGTGGAATCGAGAGGTAGTAGTAGTTTGGTATGAACCTTAGGTTTTCTGTGTAATATGCTAAACCATGTGAGCTCTTTTCTGTTATATTATTAACGTTGTGGTGCCTGAGGCATTGTATGTAAAGGAATGCTTTAATCTTTTTTTAATCTTTGTTTAAACTAGTTTTAACTATTACACAATTTAAACAAAAATCTTACTTAAAAGCCAAATTGAAATAATTAAAAGTAGAACTTTATAAATTGTTTATGAATAGTTTTCATAAAAGAATATTAGTCTCATGTGAATTTTAGTGATGGCTTATGCTTTAATTTTGGAATTACATAGGTAAAATAAATATAACTTTAAAAATCAAAAGGAGTATATGTACAGTTCAGACACTAAATTTAAAAGATATATAAATATATATATATAAGTTCAGAATAATTTTTGAGTAAATATTACTCAGTGAACTGGAACATTTTAAAAATATCTGCAGTTTTGTGATTGTTAATCTGGTTGAAACTGGTATTTTATATTTAAGTTATGTAGCTTTTCATACTACTTTCATATGAATAAAGATAAATTCTATCAGAGTGTAAAAAATAGTAAGTTTTGGTTATATATAGTTTTTTTTTCAGGTACTTTATGAGCTTGGATTCTAGGCACTAGTGCAAGAGATGTCTCTCCTGAGAGAAACTAGAAGTGATTTACTCCAGCAGAATACTTCAATGCCTGACATGGCTTTCTTTAGTAGTGCAGCCTTTGAGAGAACCCTGATAGTTACAGAAGCTAACAGTCTTAAAAACAGGTGAACTTCTTGAGAATAAAACAAAATGTGGCTTTCTACACAATTTATGCTTTCCAAAAATGATATTTTTCAGCCACATATGGATGAAAAGAAAGACTGACCAGAGCTCAGCAGTAAAAGCAGCTATTAGAATATCTCCCTCTTCCTAAAGAGTAAGAAACTTTGACTATATGTACAGGAAATACCTGTGTTAGGTGTTTTGGTTTTTTTTTTTAATTTTTTTGAGCAACTTTGGAAAATGGATTTGACGGTATATAATCAGTTTTACTAACCAAAGCTTTATTTGAAAACTTACTTTTTGTAAAATTGAATTACATGCTTGAATACTTCAAGTCACTTTATAAGCAAAATGCATAGCACTTAATTTGTTTATACTGTAAAATATATGTTAAATGGTTTTATCAATTTGAGAATAAAGATAGTTACTAATGCTGTTGTATTTTTATAACCTTAAAGAACTAATCAAATACACATTACAAAGCTATGAATTTTAGCTTCATATGTATTATTTGATAAGTGTTTAAACACAGTAGTAGACTGGCTTGTTTGAAGATACAAAATTAAGGCACACTGAATTTGTTCTTATGCTCTAATAACTATGACGTTTCCCATGAAAGTGATTAATAAACATAAGGACTAGATTCTTCATCTATTCAGAATGAAGCTGTACTCAGAATTGTGAGTTCAAGAGATTGCTGAAAGGTGGTGAATCCTCTTGGCAGTTCTCAGCGCCCACATCTTGCCATAGCTGTCCAACTCCAGTTCCTCTGGCCTCCATGGGCACCTGCACTCACTTCCTGTCCAGACTCCCAGACACCCACATTCATTAAAACATAAGGATGAATACTTTTAAAAGTTTTTTAAAAGAGTTTTCTTTAAGCTAGCCAGCCATATTGGAAATCTATATAAGTAAGAATAGCTTTTTAGCCATAAATATTATTTTAATCTACTATCTTAAATAGGTTTCAGAAAACAGGTCCAATTTGGTGTGGTAATGTAGGCTACTCAAGTATTTAAAAATAGGCCTTGATAACAGTAAGTTAATAAACCTATTTGTGCAAAACTTATTTATATTTGAGGCCAGTTTTAATATTAACAAGAAGTAAGAAAAGTCCACCAGTCTGCTGGCCAAAACTCCTTTAAGAAGAGAAAGCATTTTCCGAGACCAAAAGCTGACTCTTGGAATTAATAATTGCCCCCCCCCCCACACACACACACACATACAGTGTAAATACTTAAATTGTTTCAAAAAGGAAGAAACTCTTGAAGGCACTTGGAAGAGCATGAAGCTACCTGGTGTGTTTGTTTAAAAAGTTGGCTGGGTGCGGCGCAACAGACCTTTAAGTTATTTAGAAGGCTACGCCAGGAGGATTGCAGTTCGAGGCCCACTCAGGCTACCAGTGAAAGGCCAGCCTGGCAACCTCTTCTCACAAATAAAGGAGGCTGTAGAGATGCGCTCAGTGGTAGAACACTTCCCTCCTATGTGTGAGAGAGCCTAGGTTCACCTTACAGAAACTCGGGGTGTTTTTATTGTGCATTTCCACTCCCCATTACTGTCTTCCGCTCTTGCTGGATCCCCTTTCCCCCAGCAAGCTTTTCTTCTACTTTAATGCCTTTTTCTTTCTTCTTGGGACTCACTGAGTTTAATTGGAGAAGCTTGTCTGAGAGAGTAGGAGACTACTGAAGCATGGGCAGCTAATTAGTGGCAATACCGCTGGAAAAAAATGACTATCTTCCCCAGCAAACAGTTTATTAGAGAGGGCTGTGGCCTCCTCAGCCGCATTCCCCAATCTGGTGGAATGTTTACTGCCCCATCTAGGGCAGATAAACACAGATGCTGTGAGTTCCTGGATGCAGGAGCCATGGCCTCCCCAGGTGGCAGCATTTCATAGCCCTTGCCATCCTCTAGCTAGTGAGTTGTTTCTGCCACCTCGTCCATGACGCCGGCTGACCCTTGGAAGGAACGACAGATGTCCTGCTGAGGGCTGAGCACTAAACTGTGAAGTCTCAGCACTTTGACCCAGGTATTAGAGACCTGTCATTTTTTTCCTTCTGATTCTTTTAAGGAACCGTTATTGAGTACTTCTGAGTGCTGATAGTAGTTATTGCACCTTTTAGCTGTTTTCTTCTATCTGCAGTAATAGATATTTACCTTATAATGGGCTAGATACATTTACTCTGAATCCCTAATATTCGGCTTTAACACAGAGATTTTCTAAAAAGAAATACTACACATTTGTAACTCGAACTGACAGAAACACATCATACACCAAACGGCCACAGAATTTAATTTGTAGACCTGTTCTTTGATGAGAGCAGGAGAGTGAAACTGGCCAGGCAGTTTAGGGTAGGAGACCCCCCCCCCCGAAGGAAATATTTTCCTTGGCTTAAAATCTGAAACTGTCCTTGGCCCTCTGCACAGCTGTGTCCTTGCCAAAGCCAGACACCAGAAGGGAGGCCCATCTCTCTCCCTGGTGGGCGTGCCTGTCTGGAGTCTATGCCGAGCAGCCTGGACCTTCTGATGATGGGGCCATCTGTCTAGTCCATCCCCTCGTGCTCATTTCTGCTGCGAATTCAATAAAAAGCCCCTAGATGAGCAACAGTTCCAGCTCTCCCATTTCCCAGAATCTGCATGGCTACACAGCTCTGCCTCTTTTTAAGCTCCCACCTGTGAGTTGGTAACAAAACTGCTTTCTGAACCCATGCTCTTGTTGCCTATGAACTGCATTCTTTGGATTTGCACCCACGAACTCAGAGGCCACTGGCTCAGACGTTTCCTGTGGCCACCAGCTTCAGACACCTGCAGTTTTGAAGCCCACCCCAAAGCAGTACAGAAAGCCGCCTTCAAAATCAGAGACACCCCATTGTCCCCATATTTTGGTTTCTCTACTACTATTTCCAAGAATTTTCTGAATCATCTCTGCCTCGAAGTTGTCCTCCACCTTACAAATACATTTCACAGCTGACAAGCACTTGGGAGATCACGGGAATTACGCCTATCACAGGCTTTCTTCATTTACTAAGCTCCACAGTCAAAGACCCGGCATGCTTTTTAACACAGTAGAATCTCATTTGAAAAGTCACATTCCATGTGTATGTTCCCTGCCCGCTGTGCTACAAACCAAAGTCTGATTTAAAAGGACGTGCTTGGTACAAAACTCTTTGCTTATCACCTCTGGGCTGCTGGGAAATACTAACTTTTCCAGATAACTCAATCTGGTGTAAGTTAGTGTTGCCTAAGTCTGGCCACTAGATAGTGGTAATGTGAATAGGTTCTCTCTTACACCACATTCTGAAGGTGATCAGGTCAAAGAGGCCACATTTTGGTTTGGTTTAGGCACGGTAATGAGAAGATAAACTGGTGGCAGTGGGAAACGGTTCCCTCTTTGTGATAGTCATCCAATTGTGATTCCAATTATCTGGAGTCACCTTGGCTTTCTGAGGCTTATACTTGTAAACAATAAAGAGTAAATTCCTAGACAAACAGGGTCAAAGATACAAAGTCGAAGCCTCGGTTTTTGTCTTTTGTTTTTATTAGACTGAACAGGAACGACAGACTGGTAACACCTAGTGCACAGATACACTGCTGAAAAGTGTCTGTGCATCCATTCATTTAACCTGAGAGAAAACACAGTTCCGGGTTCACTTGACCTCTCTAAGCCTTGACTTAACGCATCTGGGCCAGCAGATCTGTATGAGGAGGCTTTCTATGACAGCTCACAATAGTGTACTGACCTCTCAAGAAGCACTCAAACAGTAGGTGAATTGAATAACTGGCACATTTGCATATTACACAGACTCTTTTTCCATTATTGTGCTGGTGTGTTTTTATGAGTAGGAGAGAAGAACAAAAGAAAAAAGGTGGGTTCAACTGATAAACACGGGACCTTGAGAGCTTGTCTAATGCCCGTAGTACAAGCATAATGAATTAAAGGTCCTCGACAAAATCCCATCCTTTCCAAGAAAGCGTACCCTCTTCACTGTGCTAGCCTTGCTAATGGGTGAAGAACCAGAGGGCTCACACAAGAAGTCAGAAGTACATTTCGCCCAGCCATGTCTGCAGCCAGGTACTTCCATGGCCTGTACTGGAAAACTGCTGAAGCAGACAGTATTGTCTGTCAGCTCAAAGTCCCAGTGATTACGAGACAGGAACTGACAGCCTGCAGTCTAAACTGGACAGCTTGTGTTCTTTCAATCCCAACAGTCCTCTGAGACCATGTATGCATTCAGTGTGCCCTTCCTATGCCAACATGGGTGTCTGCAATCTTCCTATTCCCGGCTGATAAATCACTTGAGGCAAGGACACAAATCTGGAGATGTTAAGTTGCTTCTGTCACAACAGCCAGTTAGTTGCTAGCCATTCTCAAACGCTGCCCAGAAAATCTGCTCTTTCACACACCGTATTTCCTGTGTCCAGAGGCACTGCTCCAGCAATGGGTCCAAACCGGTCTTCGAGGTTATGTGACTAGAAAGCAGACAGACCTGGACCCCAGAGTTGCAATAGCTGTAACAAGAGCTATTCTTTAGATGATCAGGAAGCCCTTAGACAAAGAAACAGCACTGCTGCAATAGAAAAATGTCAGCACTGGATCAGTGAACTCCACAGCTGGTATCAACCAATTCCCAATAATATTGAGATCTTAACACATTCACTTTGGCCTGTACAATTATGGCTTCCACTTCTTTCCAAGAGTCTTGAACTGTCAGTACACTGCACCTCCAACTGTGAGCACTTCACCTTCCTGCCCCGAGGAGAAGAGAATAAAGACACAAAAGTAAAGACACCCCTGAAATGGGTGTAGGTGGCTGGAGAGAGCCATGGACCGCAAGCCTCACAGGTCAGGAAGTGGGCGTCTGCTAGGCAGAGGGATTTCCTCGTATGTTATTTTGATGAAGGGGAATTTCATTGGTAAGAACCAATATTCAAAGTTATAAAACAGATAGAACTCTCTGTGCATAATCACTGTATCAAAAATTTTCAAGAGATTCAACAGAAATTGTCTCGTTGACAAGTGTGGTTTGAAGAGGTTATAAAATTTTTTTATGACGGAAGCAAGAGTCTTGTTTCCTTTTGGCCCAAAAATAGAAGTTTCGTTTCCCAGGTAAGCAGGTTCTCCGCTGTAAAGAAATATTCTTGTATAGTTTGTTTCTATCTTCTTGAATTCTGCTCCGAATTCAGCCAGTTTCTCGTAAGTCCTTAACACAAATTTCGAACAGTCGTACGATTCAAACCATGTCTCCGCCCCTTTTCCGGGGCTGGCCCGGACAGTCCATGTCTCATAATAGATCCCCGTGTCATTGTCCTGCTTCACCCACTCCGCCAGCTTGTTAAATGTGTTTCCTGGTGGAAAAGGCAACAAAATAAACTGCTTACAAAATGTGCTGAGACCCGATAAAGACCAGGATGAATGAATAAGAAATACTTAGAC